CATAGATGTATTTCTAAAGCTAACCCTAATGATAACTGGAATCACATCCTAATTATAACACGAATCCTAAATCCAACTGTAGTCCAAACCTTAGTCATAAACCTAGCACTAGATTTTGACCTAACCTTAATCCTAGAAGAACTGCAGCACTAGCCCATACCCTTACATTAACTCTAGCTCTAAGCGTAATTTCAGCATTCACTCTAACCTCACCATACTACGAAAATCAACACAACTTCTTAATCCTCAATGTAGCCACATCGTTAGTCTTAACACTAATTGTAACCCTAACTGTATTCTAAAGTGACAGAGCCCTTACCCAAGTCCTAACAATAGTCCTCAATCTAGTACTAATGAAAACTAAGTTGGAACCAGAAATACGACCTGAACTTTATATCTAGCATTCAGTCAAAGACGAATCTATCCCAAATACTAATCCTGATGCAAATCCTACTTCATGCAACAAACAAAAACCTGAGTCTGAACCTAACCATATTTGTAAGTTTAACCCTAACACTCACCATAAGGCTAACCATAATTCAAATCTTAAACCTAATAGTAACTTCAATACCCAATCTAACCATTAGCATTAGCCCTAACCCTAATTCTATCTAATCTTAATCCTAGTTTTATTCCTAATGATAACCCAAATCATAGGCCTTAATGGAACCCTAACACTAAAATTAGCCCCAATCATAAAACTGGACTTTGACTTCATCACTACCATACCCTAAGATATAATGATAACCCTGATCCTAACCCTACACAGAACCACAACATGAAAACTAATGATGTCCTTGAAGTGATCTCTTTTATAATACGGTGAGCCTGCTTCATGACACCGTATTCTAGCAGGGAAAACTCACTGAGAGCCATGTCAAGAAAGCTCAAGTGATCTGCCTACAGAAGTCAGCTTGACTTGGCTCTTCTATATTCCAAATGCTTTTCCAAACACTACCTTTAACAGGGAACTAGGATCAGTTTGGCTCCTTCAAGAGACACAAGGATTCTCATCAATGGAAAAGTGAAATGCTTACACAGTACCAGTATTGAAAAAGCCCTAGGCTTCATTACATTTTCTGCCCAGCCCCACACACTCACACTCTGCTGCATTCCATCGAGTCTAAATGTCCCCCTGCCAAGGCCTGTGGGGAAAAAGACCAGAGAAAGCAGAGCTTCAGCCACTCACCATCTTTCTCCACCACGCATAGGAGGCTGTCTGTCACCATGGCTTTTCTAAAATGCTGGGGCTGCAGGATTCTGGGCTCTTATGACCAGGCAGCTGCTGATTGGACAGCTTATATGGCCGTGCAACCCAATGAGGTCAAAGAGAGGCAGCCAATCAGAATGCTCCCTGTCACCAGGACAGCAAAATGGTGTTATGTGAATGAAGCAAGAGTGAGGGTCCAGGCCAGAGTTCATGCTCAGAGCTTTGCTAATTCACTTGGTCATAGCCCTCCAAAGTTTATCTGTAGTCACCTTCTTGTTGGTCCAAGTCATCTGTCCATGGGCCTACTATCTACTGTGTCTGGAGCTTGACACAACCTGTGGCAGCTGAGTTACAATCCTATGCGTGTTAAGCTTCCACAAGCATTCACCCATACCCTTCTTTTGGAACTTCTCTTCATAACGCGTTTTAACATAACCCATGTGTTATGTTAATGTCATGGGTGCTATTTATAAGTATATTGTGCAAAATGCTTACAGATCTAAAATACACACATCGTCCTTTTGATGCATTTCTTTTTAAGGCAGTCACCCTTCTAGCCTCACCCCATGCATCTTCTCCTCCCTTTCTTGATGGAATACCATTTTGTGTTTGATCTTGGTGCCTTTGTATCAATGTGTGAATTGTTATTCTTACTCCTTTGGATCCAGTCACTATAAGAATTGGGTAATTTAGACTTTGGATTATGTAAGGTATTCTTCGCAGTGTTTATTTATGTATTTATGCTTTACATAGATGCTTAGACCTTGTGTTTTCTGTTTGTTGGTTGTTTCCATGACCACATTTTCATTGTAAACCTGGAGCCTGCTCAGGATAACATGCAACCTTCTTTACATCCAATCCCAGTGGAACCATTTTCAATAATGTTGTGTTACTTGTGTTGTATGTTGTAGGATTCTACTCGGTGGATCCAAGGTAAACAAAAGCTGCTGACATATCTGTGTCTTCCACAGTTTGTCTTCACTGACCAGATGGCTCACTTCATACATGGGACACCCACAATTCTGTGCAAAACTGATCTCTTCAGTCCCCATTTCACTGAGACAAATGTAATTTCCATAGCTGCTCCAGGATACATTTTTGGGATTTTGCAATGGCAATAGTCTCGCTAAGTGACTCTAAAGAGAACCAAAATGAAACTCAAACCAGAAGATCCTAGCAATGCATGTCCTGGGAGGATATTGCTATCTTCCAGAACATGAAATGAGTATCAGCTTTCTCAAGCAGATATCAAGTAGAAAGACAGAGACTGACCTGATTCATGAAAGAGAAAGCCAGACTTAAATATTGCCACAGAAACATGCTCCCAATTAAAGAAAAAATAATAAAAATAAATCTACTTGTATCCATTTCTGTCAGTGGGTAACAACTTTCAGGTACTTAAGAACAACCCATTGAATTGACATTTCTTACAATTTGACAAGACTATTTCATGGCACTGTATTCTACTAGGGAAAACACACTAAGAGCCATGCCATTGCTTGTGGCTGTGCAGAGTATACTGTACATTCGTGCAGAGTATACTGTACACTCAATAGGTCTGCATGCTCAGCTGCAATTGCCTGGAGAGAAGTTCCCCCTTGACCTGGTCATCATGGGGGAGGAAAGAACCAGTTCTAGGTTCAAATAACACTGACTCTCCCTGCCATGATCAAACCTTGAATTTTCTTCAAATATGTCTCCATTTGCTGTCTCTCTAGCACCATTTGAGAAACTTCATAAGAATTTTTTTTGCTTTCCTTTAAAATACTTTTGAATGAGGGTTGTTATTGAGACACTTCAATGGTTGAGCCCCTACTGATCATGTAGGCATTCAGTTATCAGAACTCCAGATTCTGTACCAGCCTTTCTGCTTCTGGTCAGTGTATAAAATACACCTGAAGTAGCAGGGAATGATGCCAGGAATTGGGCCCTGATACCTACATGAGAGATCACAATGTGATTTTTTGTTCCTGATTTGGACCTGGCCAAGCTTGGAATGGAGAACCCCAGGGTCATGGTGGGAGTGACCTGGTGAATGCAAGTTCTATTTGTCCTTTCCACTCTCATGAGTGCTTGCATGCTCTGAATCTGCATGTCTCTACTTGCCACACAAGTAGGACCTACTAGGTAAAAGAAAAATGAACTCAGTGATATGCATCCCATTGATGACCTTCATTATTTGTGTGCCTCGGAAGGTTTGATTATATTAATATAAAAAGTTTAATTTTATAAGTACAATATAAAGTTTCTTTTTAAGCTTGCAAATGTCACCCCAAGCTCACTACATGGGCAATATCAGCTTCTGTGTTGACAAATACACCTATGACACACTTGACATTTTCAGTATTAAAATTGCTTATCAAAACTAGAAAACCTGCACTGATTTATTTTTTGTATGACCATGGCATTAGGCTTACGCTTTTGGAAATGCATCATTCCATGTTTGCTTTAGTCCCAGGTACTACTTTCTAGTAACTCTGATTTAAAGTAGGTACAGACATAGGAAGACATTCCTCATGCTGACTGCTGGGTAGAATTGTTATGTCTGGGTTTTGCATTGCTTAATTTCTCAAATTGTAGAGTGTATATTTTGAAAATTACAATTGTTCATTAGCACACATGGCTGCCTCTTGGGTGCATGGCCCAAGGCATTGGGCCATTCTTGACTGCTTTCCCAAGCCACAAGCAGGGAGCTGTATGGGAAGTATGCCCAGCAAGATTCAAACCGGCGTCCATATAGGATCCTGGCACCTTCAAGGCAAGAACCTTAGTCACTAATCCGCCATGCTGAGGACAAAACAGTACAATTTTTATCTTGAAGAAATACTTTACTTTTCAATTACAAATTCAGACATAAGAGAGGAAGATCTTCTGTCCATTGATTCACTCCCCAAACGACCACAATGGTCAGAGCTGAGCTAATCTAAAGCAAGGAGCCTGGACTCTCTTCTGGGTCTTCCACAAGTCCAGAGTCCCAAGCCCTGTCCTCAACTGCTTTCCCAAACCACAAGCAGAGAGCTGAATGGGAAGTGGGGCAGTCGGGATTAGATTGAACACCCATATGGGATCCCAGCACGTATAAAGCAAGGACCTTAGCTATTAGGCTATCATTGTTGGCCCAAGAAAAGCACTTTTACGGAGGTAATTACTGGGCCTAGCATGGTAGCCTAGTGGCTCTAGTCTGCACCTTGCATGTGCTGGGATGCCCTACGTGTGCCAGTTCTTTTCCCGGATGCTCCACTTCCCATCCTGCTCCCTGTTAGTGGCCTGGGAAAACAGTAAGCGGTGGCCCAAAGACTTGAGATCCTGCACCTATGTAAGCAATCCAGAAGAAACTCCCGGATCCTAGCTTTGGATCAGCTCAGGTCTGGCCTCTTCATCCACTGCAGAGTGAATAAGTGCATGGGAGATCTTTCTCTCTCTCCTCTCATCTCTGTTTTTAATATTGCAATAATAATAAAATTTAAAAAATTTAAAAAGAGGGTGATTACCAGAAACTATAGCTACTGTGAATCCCCTTCGAACTGATTTCAGTTCCTTTAAGGATACACAAGGACAGAGGAAATACCACAGAAGCTGAGTTGGCCAGGGAGTGACCTCAGGAGAAACCAAACCTATTCTCAACCTGCTCTCAATTTTCAAACATTTGAACCACAAGAAATGAATGACTGTGATTCAGGACACATACTCTATCTGTTATGTTGACTAAAGCACACTCTGCATTATAACTATCATTCCTATAGCAATGAGAAAGAACCCATCACCGTCAGAGACATATACAAATCCAAAGTTATGAGTTCAGATGCCCAACACCTAAACAATAACAAAATATCAAATAACCAACCAAAATACTGACCTTCCAGTCCCCCACAAAATAAAAAAACAAGTCTAGGACTAATAAAGGAGACTCATGTATATAACATCAAAAAGGAAAAAGGAACATGCAAAAATTGCTCACACAGAAGGACAATGGCCCTGGGCTCGCTGTGACAGAGTGAGTTTTGTCACTGCTGTGGGGTGACCGTCCCATGTGGAAATACCTTCCAATTCTGAGATTCTTTTTTTCCACTTGCTTCATTTTATTTGAGACTCTCCACTGCACTTTTCATTTGCTCTACTATTCTTATTTTTTGAAATGTCAGCCTTAATTTGCTCTATTGCTGTTATTTTTTGTGTAACATATTCCTTAATTTTTTTGAACTCTTGTATGTGCTTCTCAATGTTGATCAGAAGCTTTATAATGAGTTTTCTGAATTCTGAGTTCCCAATTTTCTCACTGTCTTCCTCAGTTAACTCTGAGGGCGGCATCAGGTTTTGCTCCTTTGCAGGGGAGTCTTTAATAATGTTCATTTTACTTCTGTGTATTCTTTTGCTCTAGATAATTGTACTTCTACTTATCAGATTCTTCTCCTTGGTGCAGGTTTCTAAGCAATGTCGTGCACAGGTCCACAGTTATTGTTAGGGTTTCCCCCAGGGACATGGTGTGTCATGGGCCTATGGCTTCCTACAAGAACTAAGTGGGCACAGATCCAGGGGCAATCTCCCACATTCGAGAATTCAAGGAGGGACAGTGGCCAAATGGGATCCACATTTGGCCAGGTGTCACAAGATTCATCACTCTGATCAAGATTCATGCTTCATAGCTGAGTCTTTAGCATTAGGATTGCAACATGCATCAGTTGATATTTTTGCTTCCAATTTATTCTGAAACAGAATGTGGGATATTGAAATTCAAGAAACTCATACTACATACATTCTGGAAATGATAAAGATGGTATTTCAAACAAGTGTTATGCACTGAACATTTATTATCAACATAAGAATCTGAAAGCAGTACTCATTCACATTTTACCCCTCACAATAAAGGTAGATCACTCACAAATTGCATCTTACTTTAACAACACATAGCTGTGTTCTCAAACACACTGGTAATCTCATGTATACCTTTTAACACTTGTTGGAACTTCTGAAGTGTTTTTTCACTTTGATTTTACTTTTAGTACTTTGTTTGCAATGTTGTTAAAGCTTGTTTCACTCATGTTGTAAGCTGACAGAGCATGCCAGTATGTTTATGGTCGCTAATATATGCTTACATGCTTTAGTAATGAAAATTGACGGCTCCCAAAAGGCTTCTGCACATTATCTACATTCGTAATGTTTCTCCCATGTGAATTCTGATGTGCAATGAAATCTCCCCCCTTTTTTTTTCACCACACAGGACATTCATATTGTTCTTATCCTGTGTGGGTTCTCTGATGTGTAATGAGGTCTGACTTCTGAGAAAAACTTTTTCCACACTCATTACATTCATAAGGTTTTTCCCCGGTGTGGATTCTTTGATGTTTAATGAGTTGTGGCTTCTGAGAAAAAGCTTTTCCACACTCACTGCATTCATAAGGTTTTTCCCCAGTGTGGATTCTCTGATGTATGATTAGGTCTGACTTGTAATGAAATGCTTTTCCACATTGGCTACACTCATACGGTTTTACCCCTGTGTGGATTCTCTGATGTCCGATTAGGGATGACTTCAGCTTAAATGCTTTTCCACACTGGCTACATTCATAAGGCTTTTCCCAGTTGTGGATTCTCCGATGTATAGATAGGTATGATTTCTGTTTAAATGCTTTTCCACACTCAACACATTCATAAGGTTTTTCCCCTGTGTGGATTCTCTGATGTCCGATTAGGGATGACTTCAGCTTAAATGCTTTTCCACACTCACTGCATTCATAAGATTTTATGCCGGTGTGGTTTATCTGATGTTTGATTAGGGATGACTTATGCTTAAATGCTTTTGCACACTCACTACATTCATAAGGTTTTTCCCCAGTGTGTATTTTCTGATGTGAAGTTAGATATGACTTCAGTGTAAATGCTTTTCCACACTCACTACATGCGTAAGGTTTTATGCCGGTGTGGTTTATCTGATGTGTGATTAGGGATGACTTATGCTTAAAAGCTTGTCCACACTCATTACATTCATAAGGTTTTACCCCTGTGTGGATTCTCTGATGTCCAATTAGGTGTGAGTTCCGAGAAAAAGCTTTTCCACACTCACTACATTCATAAGGTTTTACCCCTGTGTGGATTCTCTGATGTCTAATTAGGTGTGAGTTCCGAGAAAAAGCTTTTCCACACTCACTACATGCGTAAGGTTTTATGCCGGTGTGGTTTATCTGATGTGTGATTAGGGATGACTTATGCTTAAAAGCTTGTCCACACTCATTACATTCATAAGGTTTTACCCCTGTGTGGACTCTCAGATGTGCAATTAGATATGACTTTATTTTAAATGCTTCTCCGCACTCATTACATTCATACGGTTTCCCCTCTGTGTGAATTCTCTGATCCCTAATGAGAGAGAATTCCTGGTGAAAGACTTTTCTATGCTCATTACATTCATATGGCTCCTCTACAGTGTCAAGAATCTGATCTCCTATGAGTTCTGACTCCTGGTCAATGTTTTCTTTACATCCATTGCACACATAGAAATCTGCTCCTCTGTCACTTCTATGTTTGCTGGTAATGCAAGATTTATTGTGAAAAGGCTTTTTACAGTAACCACATATACAGTGACTTCTAGCTGTTTGGGCTATCTGATTGACTTCCACATCTGTTTTATAAATAAGTGATTTCTCACTCTTGAAATGCTCTTGGGATTTCTTTCCTGAGTGTGTTTGTGGATGATTGTTAAAGTCAGAATTGTTATTTAATTTTTTCTCTTTAAACTGCACAGACTCTCCCACACTGACTGGTTCTTGGTATGGGGGAGAGGGTTGTAGGGAGATAGGATATTGTTGTTAGAAGAAGGAGGTGTGGGGGGGAGGGAAAAGGGGGGGGATTTTGAGGAGGTATTGGGGGGATGAGTGAGGGGGGGGTAGTGTGGGGAAAATAGAAGGTGGGGGGGGGGGGGGGAGATGTTTGATTGATGGGGGGTGAGATTTGGATGGGATAATGGGTGAAGGGGGTTGGTTTTGGTGGATTTGGTGGAGTGGGGATGTAGGAAGAGAGGAGTTTTGAATGTGTAGGAGTTGTGAGAGAGGGTGGGGAGGGAGAGGAAAGGATGAATTGGTAAGGGGGGGGGATAGGTATGTTTGAGGAGTGGGTTTTAGTGGGAGGGGGAGGGGGAGTGTGTTTGAAGGTTTGTTGGGGGGAGGGGGTTAGGGGGGATTGGGGGGATATAGTGTTTGGTGGTTAATTGTAAATTTGAATTAACGGAAGTTAGATTGGAGTTTTAGAATGTAAGTGGTTATAGGGATGTGGGGGGTGGTGGTTGTGTATGAGGTGATTGGGATGTAATAGTAGATGATTAGTAATTTGGGATAGTGGAAGGTAATTAAGATTGGATTTAGGGTGGGAGTGGGAGAGGGGGATGGGGGGGGGGTATATAGAAGAGAAGTGGGTTGTGTGATGGGAAAGGATTGGGGGATAGGGAGAAGGTAGGGTTTATGAAGTGGGGTGGAGGTGGAATTGATAAGGTATGGGGTAAAATGTGGGGAGGGGAGGAGGAGATGGGGGATGGGGGGGGGTGAAGAGAGGGTGGTTGGTGGATGAGGGAAGGGTTTGGGGGGGGGGGGGTTGAGGGTGGGGGGGGTGGTGGTTGTGTGTAGATTATGGTGGGGTGGGATGTGTGGTTGTGTAAGGAAGGGGGTGGATTAGAAAATTGGGTTAAATTGGGGTGAGGTGATATATTTGAATGGTGAAGGTTTGGATGAGGGGAGATATATATGGGGGTTGAGGTTATGGGGGGTTTGTGGGGGGGATAGTAAGAGAGAATGGATTGTGATATAATTAAAAAGGAAGAGAATTTGGTTGGGTTGGGATGTGAATGAGGAGGAGTATGGGATAAGGTGGATAGGGAATTTGGTATATGGAGTGTGTGAGTATATTTAAGTAGTTGGAGGAGAAGAATATTTGATTTGGTTATTAGGGTGTGGGGGATATAAGAGAGTAGATTTATATAATAAAAAAAAAATTTGTTTTGGATGGGAATGAGGGGGTATATGGGGAGGATTTGGTTGTGATTGGTGTGTTTGTGGGGGGTTTAGGTTGTGGTTTGAGGTGGATGGTATTGGGAGAGATTATGATTGTGAGTAGGGGTTATAATGGATAAAAGTGAACAGTTTGGAAGTGTTATTGGGTAATGTGATATGTGGGAGGGTGAGTTAGGATTAGAAGTGAGATGAAGGATGGAGATGTTTAGGGAGATGGTGCTCTGAGATTGGCAGATCAGTTATAGTTTGGACAACCAAAGCCGTGGGATTGCGGAACGGTGTGGGAGTCCTGGAATGGGTTCCGTGCTCCTCACTTCAGCTCTAGCCGTTGTGGTTGCCTGGGAAGTGAATCAATGCATGGAAGATCTTCCTCTCTCACCTTCTCTCTGTAGGTCTGACTTTAATATAAAAATAAGTATATCTTAAGAAAAAAGTCATCTTGGGCAACTCTCTTTTCGGGTATTATAAAATTTTTGTGATTACAACTTGCCTGAAGATTATTTCTTGACTTTCCTGATTCGCTCCAAGCAGTTCATTCTGTCTGTAGGAATCTGAAATGAGGAAAAGAGTAACCATCTCCATGGAGCTCATCTAAGTTTTTCTGTTACAAGGCTCAATTACAGCCAATGAGGTTTATTGCCATTTTAAATACAGCATATTTTAACATTAGTGCAATGTGGACATTTATGAGCATAAATAATGAGCATTACTTCTTTATTAATGCATTAACATAATGGCTTTTTAAAATGCAAATTTCAATTACTTGGAATTGTGCATTTTAAGTTGATGCAGGATAGCAGTGAAAATATGGCACAAAAACTCAACATAAGGTTTGGGATGTCTTACATCCCATAAGAGCACCAATCTGTCTTGGCTTGAGTAGTCTGACTCAAGCACAACTTCCTGAGAATGTATCTGGCAGGTGGCAGATGATGATTCAAGTGCTAGGGATCATGAAAAGAGCAATAAGTAGTGCTAGCTGTAGGGTGACTTGCCAACAAGTTTTGAAAGGCATTGCTAGGGTAAACCTACACATGAGGATTATGGAACTCCTGTGTCTCAACAGTTATCCTCTGGGAGGACACTTTAACAAACAAAAACAAAAACAAAAGGCAAGGGTTCCAGTCCACCTTTAATGAGCTATGTGTCAACTTCAATGCCCACTAAGTGCTCACCTACCTGGAAGTCTCTGGTGTGTAGATTTGTCCACTGTCCATGGTGCTAAATCTCGTTCCAGGTTCAAGATCACATGAGGCTTTGTCAAGCTGTAACCTGTTCGTGGAAAATGATGTAGATTTTGTGACATCACTACTTAGTCTTACCTAGTATGGGACTTCAGAAACTCTCCTTTCATTTGTCAACCATAAAGAAGTGTTCTGTTTGGGCATGACAGATTTTCACTCACCCAAGGACAGCAGATTGTTATAAGTCTCAAGCATCACATCCCTGTACAGGGTCCGCTGAGTGTTGTCCATGTGCTGCCATTCCTCCTGGGTAAAGTCCACAGCCACATCTTCAAATGACACCAACACCTATAAAGTACATGTCTCCTCAGTTCTGGATCATCAAATACAAAGACTGACGGTGAATTGTATGTATATTTAATTTGCAACTTTAATGGATGCAATTTAATGTACAGTCTACAGAGTAAAAACAAAACAAAAATAAGTTCTCCTGTATTACTTGTGCAACTCCAATACTACAATAGAATATCCCTTATTATTCTCTTAAAGGTTGTTTTCTCGAAATATTTTGAATCTAAGGAACTTTTGAGGGCATTGTTTAAATAAACTTGCAAGAGGAAGACATCACACTCAGTTTGTCCCTATGATTGCCGTTCTGCTTTTTAATAAAATTAAATTAAACAATCTCTTTAACACTGAGCCAAACTATTAACTCAGTGCCTGTAATAGTAAGCTGAGTGCAATTTTTTTTTTGTGCTTGTTTAACTTGCAACTTGTGTGGATGCAGCTAAATTTACAATCTATATTGCAACATAGGGTAAAAATAATATGTTGTTCTGCAGTATTTCTGCAATTCTGAAGCTACAATTCCATTATGATTCTGTATCAGATTGGTTCCTACAACAATTCTAAATAAGATTAACTTTGTAATCTGCAGACACACACACTCACACAAACACATGGCAAATAACCTGTTAGATTGGATTAGGAAGAGACATGTATAAATGTGTAAATATTTCTTAAATCTTACATTGGAAATAAAGATATATAAGTATCCCTTGCCATTATTTTTTAATTTTTAGTATGAACCTATTAAAACCATTTGTACTTTTTTATTTAGCTTTTATATGGAATTGCATTTAAATTAAACTAAAATTTTAATTTCTTCATAGTGAACTGTGGCTTAGAAGGAAACCAAACTTCAGCCTCATACAAAACTATTTTTTTGTAACAATAACTAATATCAGCCACTCACAATCAACCAGTTGAACAGTATATATACATATACATATACACATACAGCAAAGGCCATGTTGTAGCATCACTGCTTTTGCACATGTTTGTGAAGCCCTTTAATTTTAATCTAAAGTTAGCAGGCTTTTCTCTGGTTATCTATTTACTCATTTTATTAGAAAAAGAATGAATATAGCTTATATACAGAATTTTAAAAAACAGAATTAACATTTGAAATAGCATTTTAAACTTACATTGCATTCAAGCTCTTAATCTCTAAGTGATTAAAAGGAAAAGAATATCATCATAGTTCAAGAGAAAAAGGCTCTAAATATCATGAATACAAATATGTCAATCACACCAGTTTACAAATACAGAACATTAAAACTATAGCAGAATATCTGTGGAATGTGCAGAATTTTCTTTTCACATTTGAATAAGTCAATGTTTTTGTTATTCATTTAATAATATTCAACAATTTTTAAGTGCAATATAGAAACTTATGAAGATTTATTCATCTTATCTCTCCGAGAGTGCAAAAATGTGTTGTGAGAAAGGACTCCATTGATATGACACACTGTGATGAAAGCACTTGAGATTTAGTGCTGTGGGATAATTGTAAAGAGTGTGAATACCTGCAACTGCAGATTTCAGTAGATTTTAAGAATGTGCAAACCCAAAAAGCCCATAAGACTGTTAAAAAAAATCTCTCAAAAATTAATATTTCCTCATGGAACAACACCTTCATTCATTCATTCATATTTGTGGGCTTTCTGTCTCCTTGTTTTTCAAAAATTTATTTATTTGAAAACCAGCGAGAAAGAAAGAAAGACAATCAGAGAAATTGGAGGTGGAGGTACCTAAGAGAGTTTGATTTCAGGGCCTCGGTGGTGAGAGGTTCGGGGCCTGGCTGCTGGATGATCTGTATGGATGAGATTGATACACCAGCCTGTCAGTCCTATGTAGGTTTTGTTATCACCAAAGAATAGCAACCCCACAGAGTCAATGTGAAGGCTAGGACTGGAGTCCAGTCTAGCAGGGCTAGATCCTAGTACCTAGCACAATGTCGGAACAAAAGATGGGTCACATTAGGCAGGGCTATAATACTAACCAGAATGCAAAACAACCAGGTCAGTAGGTAGATTCTGTGTGTGTGTGTGGGAGGGTGGGGGGGGGGTGGGTCAAACCCTGTGGAAATACAAGTCCCAATGGTCAGCTTCAGAGTTGGGGTAGAAATGGGCTTAGCTAGGTGTGACCATGCAACTTATCATCACTCCTGGGTACAGGGACCAAGATTAGGATGGCCAGATCCAAGTTGCAGCACTCAAATGTGCATCCTTAAACAGGATGTGGGGTGGGTCAGGCTGCAATGTACACCAGCTCATACAAAGCCAAGATGGAAGGACACTATGCTGGGCAAGGACGTAACAGCAGCTGGCATGTATGAGATCTGGGTCTAGGAGTGGCCCAAGTAGGGGAACTTGGGAAACTAACCTAGTGGGTCATAACTGCCACTGGTGATCACATGGTCCAGGACAAGGGGTTGGGCAACCTGGGCAAAGTAGTTCCAACTGTTGGCTAATGTGTGGGTTGGTTATGGAAGGGTGTGAACCAGGCAGGGCTAAGCAAAGCTTGGCTCACCAGCAAGAACAGAAACCAGGCTGGAACACAGGTCATGCTGAGCTAGGCTCTTATACATATTTGTTTACATGAGCCAGGGATGGGAGTAGACTGAGCACAGCCAGGTTCGATCACCTGCCAGAACAATTGAGACCAGGGCACGCCGAGTCAGGCCAGGATACAGAATCTAAGGCAAAGACCAAATCAGGGAAGGGACTATGCTTACATGGGTTAGAGCAAGCACTGGCACGTATGCAATCTACGGCTGGGAACAGGCCTGATTGGGAAGCTAAGGGGACATCGTGGTTGAGTTGAGGTTCTCACTGGTGAGTGTGGGGGCCAGAGTGGGAGCTGTGTCTGGTCTGGATATGGCTGCAGTTTTCATTGGCGCAAGTGTGGACTGGGCCTGGATCCACTGTGCTAGGCTAGACTCCACACCCACTGGAGCTCAGGAGGACCAGGGTAGGCTGAAAGACAAGCTAGGATAGGTCTCTGCCCCTACTAGGCCATGTGTGAGCTGTGTCTGGGTGTGTACCAGGATTGGCTGGTCTGACACATCCAACAGGAAGAACTAGAATGGGTTAAAAGCCAGTCAGGAAAGGCCACTGTTCCTGCTAGGACAGGAGGTGGAGTAAGGTGGGCTGGCTTGCGGACACATCAGTGTTTGCAAGATCTGGGACTGGAAGAGGTTCTGATGGAGAACGTTTGAAACTGTTGGGAGAGCCCAAAACCTTTGGACCCTGCACCTGTACGGGAGACCCAGAAGATGCTCCTAACTACCAGCTTGTGATTGGTTCAGTTCCAGCCATTGTGGCTACTTTGAGAGTAAACTAGCTTAGGGAGAATCTTTTTCTTCATATATCTGCCTTTCCAATAAAGAAAAATCTTTTCATATGAATTTTTTTTTGTTATACCTTTATTTTGATTATACTAACACAGATGATAAGGATGGTATGCTTCAAGGCTTAGGGAAAATTGGGAATGATCTTTGTGTCCAGAGTTTCTATTTCTTCTTGTATAATCCTTAAAAAAATTCAAGACACATGAAAAGTCCAAGATGTAAAAGCCAAAATATGAAAATCATTAGGTAGTTTCTCTGATCACATGGAATTAAATTAGAAATTATTTTAAAAATAAATTTAAGGCACAGCATAGGGTACAGAAACATCTGGGCTGATGGAGCATCTTTGGACAGGGTGAAGCACAGGAAGCAGAGTACTGGGGAAAATTAGGGGTCAGACAGCAGGAAGGGTGCATCCCTAAGACACCCTGGACACAAGAATGTGCTGGTGATGGCAAAGCAGTGTTGCAGTGAACAGGAAAACCCACCAGTGGCTGGCAAGCAGCAATCCAGACTACAGTGATCCGGATCCAGCAGCAGACTCTCCTTGGCTCTTGTGTCAACCAGGTGGGAACTTGGGTTCACACAGGGAGCTCAGGAGGCGAATGCAGTCTGAGATCTGCCAATCTCACTGAACTATTTGCACCAGCCAGAAGCAGAGAAATGGTAAAGTTCTCCGGGCTCCATCCATCTTCTGTGGTGAAGCAGTGGGGAGGGTAACACCAGCCAGGTCCACGCAGTGACCTGTCCCTGTGCCTGCCTGAACTCCAGAGACTGCTCCGTTCACGGTGAGTAACCGAAGGGGGACGTTTGTAGGGCGGTCCGTGCCCAGGCCCAACCCGCTGCCATCATGGCAAAGTGGATAGGATTTGGGAAGGGATTCAGCAGATGGGATTGGCTGCCTGTTTTGAGGTTCTGGGTTCTCAATTGCTGCTTAGGTATCTCCACGTCAAACCCACTGTACTTCTGGGATGTTAATCAATCCTAATGAATCCCAACGACAGAGAAACTTTTCCTTTGAAGGTTAGCAAGGGAAATGAGACCTAGTAGGTTGGAGGAGAGGGACCAGATGATGTTTATAGATAAGACTGATATACCAAACACTACTCCATGCAAAAGCTAAGGCTCAGGACTTGTCTAGCAGGATCATATTCCATTACCTGACATGATGGTGGGTCAGGAAATGGGTCACATTAGGCTGGGCCATGGAATTAAGTAGCACAAGAGAGAACCCTATCAGGGGGTAGATTCTGTGGGGGATATGAGGGCCAAACCCCGTGGAAATTCCTAAATGGATCAGTGCCTTAAATCTACTCCCAGAAACCATGAGACTATTTAAAGGAAACATAGGAAGCACACTCCAAGATATAGCAACAGGAAAGGTTTCTTAGAAAAGACACCAAAAGCAAAGGTAGTCAAAGCCAAAATGAACAAATAAGACTACATCAAACTTAAAAGCTTCTGTATGGCAAAGGAAACAATTACAAAGTGAAGAGGCAACCAACAGAATTGGGAGAAATTTTTTCCACACTACACGAGTGACAGAGGAGCTTCAGAAATCCAGTACATTAAACAAATCAAAACAAAACAAAACGAAAAAAAAAACCTAACTAACAACAAGAAACCCTGTTGAAAAAAAATGGTCAAAGGAAAG